GTTCATTCACTTTATCTAATTTCCTCCGGCAGCACTTGGCTGCTGCTCTAGTGTCGCAACACTATGAAATGAGTTGATTATTACAGACAAATTAGTGATCACGTATTCTGCCTCCAACAATTGTTTTTCCACAATTAAAATGATTAATCTTTCACATTCCCACATACAAAATTACTGCCGATTTAAATTCTGCAGAGAGAGGTGAAAGAGCGAGGGAGTTTCTGTCTGCTTGTTTGCATATTTGTGTGTCTCCTTGTGACAAAAACCTCAGTGCCAGCCATCAAGGAGACCAAAAGTTGTTTCCACCCTCTCTAATTACCAGCTCTTATGGTTTAGCCTTGTTTAGTTGTCCTCCGGTAAATAAACCCTCACATCAGACTGCTTTGTTTCAGGACTTTCCATGGTTTGAGGCCTTGGTGGATGATTGTGTTCCCAGGTAGGACAGAGTGATACACTGTTTTAGAGGGATAACCAACAACAGCCATGTATATATAGTAAAGTGTTTATTATACTTATACTTTTTTCATCATGAACTGTAGATGTAACTGTAGTGGTGTAAACATCAGCAAGGTCATGAAGGCTGTGTTCCTCCTGGTCAGTATTTCCCAGGAAAGGATTGTCAGTGTTGTGGGAATTTGTTGTGTCTGTCATTTTACTGGTCAACTAGTTTAAATTGGTTGGTATGCATTAACAACAATGTCCACCCTGGCTGAATCTGGAAAGAAGGGAACACCAGCAGAAATGTCCAGTAATTCCCCAAAGAAATCCCTGTAATTCCTCACGGTGCTGGTTTGAGATACCAGTGAATAAATGTGGAGGAAAATGATGTTGAAACTGTCTATCAACTACTACTGTGCATGTTGTGGTTAAGAAAACTCCCTCATGTGATGTAATATGCAGCAACGCTGAGAAATTCCCCACTTTTTGCTCTGAAATTGTCTTGTAAAACAAAAACCCTGAATTAACTTTTCAAACGATCATTGTCAGACGAGGTAAAGTACAAATTTTGGAAGAACCTGGAGGTTGCTCTAATGTGCAACACAGAAAACACCACAGCAATAAAGACAAATGTGAGATTTCCTGGTTCCTTTATGTTGTGACTTTGGATTCTGCTGAAACTGATGTATTTTTTGGCTCTTATTTACACTAACTAATACTATTTATTTATTTATCAAATTCTATTTCTATTTTTTTATATCCATGATTTATTCTCATTGTTTCTTCCTTGTCAAGCACTTTTTAAAATAGTTAAGAAAAGAACTTTACAAATAAAGTTTAATATTATTATTGTTATTATTATTCATTGTTTCCCAGGGCAGAGTATTTTAAACAGAAGGTTCTTACACTATGCAATAATCCTATGTTTTGTATTAAAATAAGCCCAAAACATTTACTCCCATCATGCTTTACTCTCTCCTCCCTGCCAGCCACTGCAGCAGCAGTGTGATGGGACATGACTGAGGCTGAATGTGGACAGAGAGTTGTTGGCAGTGGGAAGGAGGCCCAGCTCGGTCTCACAGGACCCAGTTATGGCAGGACGGTCGGTCGTTCAGTCCTATCAGAGCAGCCTCCCGCTGCATGGCCTCTCTCTGGGTGAGAGGGACACTTTGCCACATGAACCATAACCCAATTAATCATTGGTGCACATACAGAATAGAGAGGGGCATGTGATTTCTTTGTTTAAACAGACACACTCAACTGGACCCAGTTAAGCATAAACATGATTTTAATGTCCAATTCGAGCTCAGTTTCTCTGCCTGATGCAAAATTAAAAACTTTGACCTGAAATTGGTTGCAGAAAAAATGTGTATGTAATCACAGGCACCGACTTTCACTGTTTTAAATCTATTTTATTGTATCACTAAATTCCTGTAATGGGGGTAACAGTGCAGTTTCTCCAAAAAATACGTAAAGTAAAGATAAGACATTTTGTGGTAGTTTTGTTGTAATACACATGGGTGTAATGTAAATTTGAAATAAATAGTGCTGACCTGGCCTGTGCAGTTTTCGCCAGTTTGAGAATCCTCTGCAGTTCTGTAAGAAAATAAGAGGACAAGGGAAGAGGCTGGAGAGCAGTGGTGCTGGCAGTGGTAAGAAAGCGTCCCTGGTATGATGTTTGGTGTGGGGGGATAGTATTACATGCCAGGGGCCTGCTGGCTTCTCCTCCTTCCGTGCGCTGTGAGTACGGTGGAATGTGCCGTCTCAGAACCACAGGGAGGAAGAGTGTACTGACAGCGTGCGGTAAACACACTCAGCCTATCTGCCTGTTTGTTTGTTTGTTGGTGTGTTACTGTGCAAGAGGGGCCAGGCCTTGGCAGCTTCAAAGCTGCTCCCAAGCAACATCTGTGCCGCGAGTTCAGAGCGCTGCGCACAGCCATGTCGGGGACACATCACATCTTACAATTGCAGCTCTAAATCAATATTTTCCTCCCATCTCACACTGGATTGTTCCACTGGCTGGAGTTCAAGAATGGACAAGCGCTCATTGAGGAGAGGGAGGAAAAATGTTCGAGTGGATAGACGGGAGGGACCCATCGCGTTTTTTCCGATTCACCACAATCAGAAACACATTTTCAGCAATTAGTCTGAACTAACTTGCAGGTTTATTGACTAAAAACACAGTGACAGTGCCTCTCAGACAAGCATATGAAAACAATTACTACTGATTATGTTTGACTGTCAGAATTAGGTTCCTCATATGCCACATTATAATCACATTCACTGTGGACACTTGTAATCACTCTCTTCTTTGTTTGACTGTCATTCTTCTCTATTGTACTGGGGGAAATATTTTAATTTGTGAACACTCTTGTGCAACTTCTAACTATTTAGTTCTCTTGTAAAAGTGCATGTGAAGTGTACCGGAATTTATATCAAGATTAAACGATGCAAGTAATCCCTGAATGCCTGATTTCATTTGAAAATCCATTATATACAAAATCCTGTCAGTTTCCCAGTTGTTTGCTGAGAGAGCTCCTCACTGAAACTAAACCCTCGTGTGTGCAAACGGTGAGTCCAGAGCCAGCAGTCTTTGAATTGATTGTCAGCAGTGGGGCCCTCAGTATTAATCTATTTCAGTGTGTAATAAGTGAATTAGTGGGATGTAGGAGATGATGTATGATGGAGGCTGGCACGTCTAAAACCTGCTGTAAATCCACATGCCACAGCCACTTAATAATGTGGCCAGAGACCTCCTGGCATCATTCTTCACTGTATCCATTGACGACCCAAATCTCATAAATCTCCTCCTGAGTATGTTGGAGCTGTGAGTTTGCAGTTAAGTCATTTGTTCTAAAAATATGAACATTAAATGCACTGTAAAAAACACACATACACACCAGTTAATTTTAAAAGGACTTCTGAGCACACTTCCCTCCACATAATATACTGAGTATGACAAATGATGAAATAACAGTACTCCTGAAAATGCAGTAGCTCGTGAAACCAGTGTTGTAACCGTGAAAGTGTTTTTTTTTTTTTTTTGCAGTATAATTTGTAGCCTCGACACATTTCCCCAAGTGTGTCATTCTGTGTTCCTGAAATTATTCTAAAACAAACAATATATATTTATATATGTAGCGAGGCCTATTGTGTTGACAAATTGCATTCAGGAAATTCAAAATTAAATATTTTTTTTGTAACCATCTCTTCAAATGTGAATATAGCTGTGTTGTTGGCCTCCGTGTGCGCCGCTGCGTTGTTTAACTTTTCCCATACGTCAGATGCCTTCCCAACCTCCAGCCTCCAACCCCCCACCACAACAGCTGGCCTCTCAGCGAGGGCCCTGACATTACACTGCCACCCTTTCAGTGTGGATCAAGTATTGTGGTGTCAGGACAGACCCAAATAGACCCAAATATGAGCACATCACATGTCCATTCACACAGCGGTAAATATAACTCTGGCCTTCAGTTGGCAATCATTACAACATGGAAAACAGTATTTCAAAGTTTTTTTTCCCCTTATTTTCTGAAGACACTGCAGGCTATTCATTGTATCTTGTATGATACTGTAAATTACATTTGACTTATTTTATTAAAATGAAAAAATAAGCATAAAAATAAGTTTAAAATGACCTCACTCTCTGGCTTTTATATTAAAAATAAAGGCAAAATTTCCTCCGTTACTTTTTCTGTGTGCCTTTCAAAAACTCACCGTAAAATAGAAAACAAACAACTGGCTTCTATTTGTTCCAAAATAAGGTTATAAACATGTTTTGTTTATAACGTCCCAGCAACAGTCCAAACTCTGGATTAAAACTGACAGGATCCCGTTGGCTGCTCCAGTTTTTTAGATTTAAAGCAAATGGGCTGTGCTGGTCGTTCCGCAGTCCAAATAAAACCGAGTCTTTCCTCGTGTTTGAACCAAAATCACAGAGCACTTTTTGCCTGTTTTATTAAAAACATCAGGTTCTTGTTGGCCCTTCTACTTCACTGTTTAAAAAAGGGAAATGGGGAAAAAAGTGAATTTGATTTACACTCACTATGTTGGAATATAAAGCCTGTAGGTCCTGCCTCCATGTGCTGCACTTTAAATAAAGCCTATAAGTGACACGCTGCTGTACCAGCAGGTCACATATTTCCTTTTAACAACCAGAACCTATAACTTTATTATTTAACCAACTTCCTGGGAGAATAAAACAGAGGAATACAGCCAGTGGAAAGAGTGGAGGTCAACCTGATTGAATTATTAGAGTTGCAGGGACACATGGCGTTTCCCTTCTTGTTCCCAGATAGATCTCTGATATTTTTCTTAGCCTCCATAACAGTGATTATAGTGACTCAGATTACAGCTCTTGGTTTGACTTTTGCTGTAAAAAATGCTGGAAAGGCTGAGTTTTATTGTTCGCGTCAGGAAGACAGGACCGAAGCTGACCTGTGGTGAACTTGCGCGCTGTGTTTTTCAGACTCTGTAGGACCCAGCGGAAAACTGCTCCAGCCGGAGGGAGACGGGAGCGAGAGAGAGGGAGAGAGGCTGAGTGGGGAGAAGACGCTCTCAGATCAGTCAGTGGCTTCATGGAGTTATGTACCTCTGATCCGCCGCCATGGATTGCAATCCGCGATCACTCCTCTTCTTTTTACCTCTTTTGTTGTCCTGCGTTGTTCCTGCGTTCCCCATCATCTACCCCCCCAATGAAGGTAAGGGCAACTCTCCGGCTGCGGACATGTGCGTGTTTATTTGTGTGTGTTAGTGTGTGTGCGCTCCTGTGCGCTAAGGCACACGTCGGGTCCAGCGGTGCGCAGACTTGCTACTGTCCAAAATTTAAGTGATAACAATAACAAGACGATCCAGAGCGCACGGAGGAGAGACTAAGAACCACCGGGAGCTGGAGTGTGATCAGTGCCAGACAATAACAAGACATGAAACTTGACAGCAGCTCCAGACACGGTAGCCTAATTTCGGATTATGTCGCGAACGCGGGGTTATTAGTTGTTTAAAATCGGAACTGAGCTTTTGGCGAAGCAGCCACCAACGCACACATGCATTGTTGAAGAGGATGTAAAGATGTAGAGAAACTCCGCTGTCTTGTGTTTCCACGAGAGGTTCATGCTGATGTGATTCATCCAAGAATCCGTTTGGGGTAGACGCCCCAGTTACGCTCACAGTCGCGCCGATTTAAAGGCAATAAATAGAAGATGAGCGCCCTCGCATAGTGCGTAAAAACGCGGATGGTTCTTTTTTTTATGGTTTTGACCTGAATAAACCCAAAGCGGAAGACTGTGCCACATGGCGATCTTGCAAACACACGATCCTATTTAAACCTGTAATGGTTGTATTTTATATATAACACAGATATGAAACCGATGTTTTATGTAAAAATAACTGTCGTACGGGGGATTTCAGTTCCCGTTTTTTCCCAGAGCAAGTTTCGCTCACTTCTTTATGTGGAGACCCGGCCGAATAAAGTCCACTCTCAGGACAGTCACTGCTTGAAACACGTGAAACTGTGCTGGAAACAAGTGAAACAACAGCATCCTATAAATTATGATTTGCTCAACTTTATTAAAAATAAATAAATAAACAGTACCACTTTCTTACGTGCAGTAAATACGTGTTGAGGCTTATAGGTGTTTTGTTGCGAGGTCAAAGTGGAGATAAATTAAATATATTAAAATACAAGTGAAATGTTGGCCCAAGTGACGCACACTGTAGGGTCACCGGGGAAATAATGAATACACAAAGTATGATAGAAGCAATCTACTCTCAGGTAATTAAATGAGTGGAAGCGATAGAAGACAAACAGACGAGAAAACCATGAAGTCACTGATGGTTTCGGAAGAGTTTGAAAAGTTTTGGCCTCATCACAACAGTTCAGTTCTAATCTAACACAATCGATTGTGTTGTTTGCCGTCGAGATATATTTTTTCTAATCCACACTCACCCGTGTTGACCAATAACCGAATATCTTGAACTTCTTTTCTTTATTTTTTTATTTGAGAACCTAGTCTGTACTTTCACCGAAACTTTTAAATTACCTTGGGAAGTGTAAATAAAAACTTTGGTGATGTCCTCTGAACGAAAAGTTTGGTTGCATGTAAAATTCATGTAAAAATAACAATACAAACTTAAGGGCTGTGTGTTTGTGCCATGGAGAGAGTGCTGCTCGCTGCCTGCTCGTTATGGAGCAACACATCACTGGTTTCCATCTGTCCTGGACAAGAAATAAAACATAATAAATAAATACGGATTAAGTCAAGGTCAACCAGTCCTGTGCTGCAAAATGTCTCCCTTTGCTCTGAGAAACTTTATTTCTTTACTTTGTAATAGCCGAGGTGTAAGTAGCTTATTGAAATATAAGGCTGATGGACGCAGAGCGGCTTATCAACGCGTTCAGCGCTGAGAAATAAACAAGAGCACATCAAATACACAACACTCTCAGAAAATATACAGTCATCCACTGGTGGAGAGTGTGTGTAGGCCTGAGTGTGCGTCTGAGAGGGACCCAGAGTGTGACAGAGGGAGAAAGAGCTAGAAATGGATAAATCCTCTCACCAGCTTTTAAGAATTAATTGTGTCAATATTTCATTATAAAAAAAAAACAATCGCACAATTCGCATTTATTCCAGCACATACATCTGCCAGAGAGTGTCAGTATCGAGCTGCTCCGTCTCTACACACACAAATGTATACAGGATTTACAATAACCACCATCAGCTCTCGCTCTCTTCTCCAGCTCAGTGGTGGTGTCAATGCGTCCTCTTGCTTTGTTATTAGACAGATCCGCAGTTTTCATTAGCAAATATTAATTTTAGCTCAAGAGCAGAACAAAAAACTAACGTAAAGTGACTGCAGGAGTGAAGCCACCATACACGTGTACTTGCCCCTGATGGAACAAAGTAAATAAACTTAAATGTGATTACACGTTTAATAAACTGAGTGAAATCACAGTGAAAACACTCTGAAAATGGGAAAGTAGCAGATTATTTCTCTTACTGGTTTTATTAAAGTCACTTTTAAAGGCACCAAACACGAGGTCTTTAAATAAATAATATATATAATCACATATATAATTAGTGACAAGGTTGACAAATCACGAAACCTGACTCTCTCTCTTTGCCCCCCCCCTTCTGTTATCCACGTAAAACGACGTGTGCAAGGTAAAAGAGAGAGAGAGAGAGAGAGAATGAGCAGGTCAGTGTTCACATAGGTTTAGTTTTTGCTGATGAAATAATGAAATGACACTGGGAACTGAGCACAAAGAACATTTTTGCAAACTTTAAACCCCGTGGTCACAAAAAAGATTCGATAACACACTCGTTATGTTGTAGTTTATACGAAAGACGTATGTATAAATCACCAAATAAGCTGTTTGGCATATAAAGAAAAATTAATGGAAAACAAACTTCAACAGTATGACGGGATGATGGCATATTATTATTTTATTATTATTTTCCTTTCTATTCATAAGGACACCAGAAGTATGTATGTCTTCGCCAAACTCGGCTCTGTGCCTCGACCATTTTAAAAAGAAATAATATAACGTTTAATGTTTGGTTTTCATAAGGTCGCAATAAAACTGTAAAACTTCTGGGAAAGTTTGGGGAAATACAGAAAAAAATCGCTGCGAAAATCTTGTATTGATTTATCCCAAGTTTGGAGATATTATTACATTGTTTTCCAGATATAGTCGAAGAAAAAAACAAACAAACAAGTTGCGAGTGGTTTTTGGTGCTGTGCTGCAGTGTGTCTGTTTGCGTGGTGTGACGCCGGCCCGCTGCGGGGCGTCCGGGAGGCCTCTGGTATTTTTAGCCGGCGGTGGGGAGGCTTGGCCCGGGGAGCCTGGCCCAGCGGTCCCGCTGGGACGAGCGGGGGTTTGTGAGCGATGGCACCTTTCAGAGGTGCTGGAAATGTGCTTACACACGCCTATCTTTAAAACCACCTCCTCTGCTCTGTTTCTACATATACTGTATATTCACGTTTGTGTCTTCAACAAACCCTGAGGATGGAGGGATGGCATCCTCAGTTTAACAGCAGGTGGTTTAAGATTCAGAGTCTGATAAAGACAAGGTGTGTGTGCGTGTCTTTGTTAGTGTGTATGTACTGCATGTGTGTAGAAATGTAGAACTATAGAGTCTGTGTGCAAGAGTGCTTTTATGTGAGTGCTCAAGTGTTTGCGTAGGTTAAGATAAAGAAAGAAGGAAAGAAAGAAAGAAAGAACGAGGAATGGGGGCAGAGGGGCTGGGCAGGCAGCAGCAGCAGCAACATCAGACAGAGCGACTCTGCACTTGAATAATTCATAATGGGAGGTGAACACTTCACCCTTTAACACAGACACAAGTCGCCTTACTTTGCCTGCACTGCGGCCTGCCAACCTTCACATGCACAGAGGCTGCACAGACACAGCCCATCCACTTATCACACACCAGAAATCAGAGGTTGTCTGTTCTATTCTATTCTACTCTATTCTGTTCTCTTCTCTTCTATTCCAGCATCTCTGACTGACGGCTCCTCCACTAATCCACTAAACATTTTAATTGTGTCTATAAGGCTGAGGATTAAATTTCCCTGTGCATCTGTTGGGAACCACTTTCTTTCATCGTGTTTTACTGGGGCTGTGTCAGTAAGTGGCACAGAGTCAGGGGGTGAAATAATTAAGGGTCCATCAGTTTTAAGTCTGTGCCAAACAGGACAGTCATTCAATGCCAGCCGTTACATTACGAGAACATAGACATGGAAACAGCCGCCCTGTGGATCTCTGCTGCAATGATTCATGTTAATATTTCAACACGTGCTTTGCCAAATGATACTAGGTCACTGTAGCAATTGACAAGACGAGAATTAATGCCACATGGCCGTGGACTTTAACTGCGTTTGGAAGGTGCCCATTGGGTTTAATGGACAGTTTATATGCAGTCCAATCAGTTTATTACAAAAAAAAAGCTCTCTGGTTTGCCGTTTTGTTTTCTACCCCCCATTTTGTGGGGTTGTTTTGTGTGATTGTGTGTGTGCGATGGTGGCCTATAGGTATGTGTGATGTATTGATTCACCTGTTTCTACCTCTATGATGTTTTGCTCCCTCCCAGACAGGCTGACTCAGTTTGCTATTAATACTCCGAGTTCCCGTTTAGAGGCACTCCCTGATGGGGCAGGGACTATATGCTTGGCTGACGCTAGCTTGCTAACTGACTGTGTACGTGTGTGTTTCTGTTTGTGTGTGTGTGTGTGTGAGAGAGAGAGCGAACACAAGAAAAAGAAACAGCGAATGTGTCTTATTCTGCGCCTGATACAGTGCGCATGTGTGGGAGTATGTGCATGTTTTGGTGAGCATCTCAAGAGTGCATGCAGTACAAGTGGGTGTGTGCATAGCCTCTATATGTGTGTGTGTGTAATTATTTGTGTGTGTGAATGCTTTTCTCTCTAAGTGTGGAAGTGTTTGCATCATTTCGGGAGATGTGTCTCAATTTTTGTTCATGTTTTGTTTCTTGGTGTAATTTTGTATGATTCTGTGTCTTTTTGAAACTGTGCGCAGTCTGAGTATCCATGCATGTATTTGTGAGCATGCATGTGTGCGTGCACGCGTGTGTGGGGGCTGACTTTCCCCAGCCAAGTGCAGCTGGAGGGGGCTTTTTCCTCCCGCGATATGAGAGCCATCTAATTTTCTGCTCTCAAATTCCCCCGCTCAGCTCAATTTGAGTGGTGGGCTCGGCTCGTTGAGAAATGTAAATTGGAAGCAATGGCCCTGGATGCTGAGCTGCTATTATCTGACATGAACAGATAGCTTCATTAGACTCTAATAGGAATGTGTCTACTGCCACTCAACTGGCTGAATGGCTTTAGCACGGCTACAGCTCAGGTGAGCCTCAATTTAGTCAGCTTTTGGAGCCTGGAATTTGATAATAAGTCTGTGTGTGTGTGTCTTATTTTCCCTGCTTCCATCTCAGGCAGTTTTTTTTGCCACGCTGGGTGATAGTTATCAAACTTGCCTGAAGAAAAGGATGATTTCCATCTCAACCTTTGTTCTGGTATGAAACAACAATTAGCTCATGTAGAGCGGTGAAATCACAGCTCTATGCAAATGTAGTTCTTGCTGCTCGTGGGGAGTAAAAAATATCTTGACTTAAACAGTTTCCACGGTGCCACATTGGTCTTTCATGACCCACAACTCCTCTCTTTGACACTCTTCAGACATGTGTACGCTCTTGCTTACTGAAGCTTTGGATGGGGGAATACAGGGTGAATGGAGATACAGCTGCAGGGCCTTACCGCACCGCTGCTTCCTTTTGCTGTGTGTATGCTTTCATGGGTATGTGTGGGTCTTTTTTTGATTGTGTGTGTGTGTGTCATGAGCTGTGGACTGACTCCCGGCAGGATGAGGAGGAAGAGGCTGAGTCAGTCTCAAGTTCTATCTTAAAGGGGGAGACCGGAAAAGTGAAACATCATTGCAACTCATCCAGTTTATATTAGCTGATTATTTATCCTGTGCAGGCTCATGACGACATGTTTAGTCACTAAAAACACATTTTATGTTTTCACCCCTGTCCATTATTTTTTTTTCCATTGGTTTGCTAGTTTGTAAGAAAGACTACACAAAAACAACAGAACTGATTTTCACGAAACTTGGTGGAAGGATGCTGCACAGGTCAAGGAAGAACCTAAAAAATGTAGCTGCGGGTCCAGATTAACAGACAGATCCAGGATTTATTTTTATTACTTTCTTTTACATTGCAAAAAAGAGCGTTTTTCAGACTTTTATTCCCATTTTCCAGGGAATAATTCATGCATCTTGATGAAAAAAGATCTGGCACATTTAGAAAACTGATATCCATGACAGTGTGAAATCTGGTGCAGCTTGATTGAATTTAAGGGGACTTTTGGGCCTTGCCTGGGGTACACGCTCTACTGAGTGCCGTTCTGGTTAAGACATGTATCCACAAAGAGGCGTGGAAAAAAGCTCTTACACAAAGTTGAGTCAATTTCTTTTACTTAATAATAAAAAGGAAACGTGTTAAAACAAACATGAATATAAAAAAATGTACAACACATATTTACGGCGGTTGTATTACAACTTCTCACTGGGTAAGTTAGTTTCATCCTACAGTCACTTCTTATTCACAATACAGCAATTCATTATATTATTATTCTCAGTTTTCTCTTCATGAAATCTAGCGAGAAAGGATTAAACATTCATCTTAATTTACTTAAAAAATTATCAAAATTATTCCCAATACTTAAGTATTCAATTGTTTTACTAGAAGTGAAAGTATTGTCTAGTATTTGGACTAACCATTGCAGGAGAGGTGGAGGAATCCATGGAGCATAAGGCTGCCTCCACTTTCCCCACTCCCCACTCACAGTGTCGTGGTCCGTACTGACAGGTGTATTCGATGACAATCATTCACACCACAGCCATGTGTATATACTAAAAATAGAACATGTTGTAGCTTATGTTTTGTTTTCTTTGCTCGAGGAAGACACTATATGTCAGAGTAGATTTAACTGACATATCACGAGTTGGATCTCCTCACATGTGCACAAAAGTCGCCTTCACTCTCCACTGTGCACATGAGACTCTCGCCTGAGGACGTGGGCAACAATGGTGCAATTACCAGTATGGACACAAAAATATACCACTGACATGGCTGCTACTTTGGCACCGTGCCGTTCACCATATGAAACCCCTCTTTTTGTGAACCCCAAAGCTCCAGCTTGCACGATGTGTCACGCCATTCCTTGTCTTATTCGGTTCTGTTTCAGATTGCTTGTATTAGACATGGATTTCCTTCTCCGCTGCCTGGCTTCTGCTTAAAAAAGAGAGTTCTTGGCAGGACATACATGTAAAATTGTATTTCCATTCATTATAAATGGATTTAGTTTTTATTTTCACAGTGCCCAATTGAATTTCTGACCACCTCTGAAACTGGCAGCATGTGTTGAAAATTTTGATCCGGTGCTGTTTTGCTTCACCTGGGTGCAGTCCAGTCATCACGTGTGTGTGTGTGTGTGTGTGTGTGTGTGTGTGTGTGTTTGGCAACATGCAGCGGGGGTCAAGATGGGTCAAAAGTATGAAAAATAAACTGTGAAAAAACACTTCTCCTTGTGGTTTTTGAAATGTGGGCTCCACTTTAGATCAATACCTCCTCAGGATATCTGTGTTGTAGCCAACGTCCGGCTTTGATGCTTTACACAGCAAAACGGGAAGCCCTCGCTGTTGGTTAACATAGGATGTATGCTGTGTGTGTGTGTGTGTGGCAGCTGAGTAAACAGAGTCATGATCATTGCTCAAAGTTGGTGCTCCCTCCTGCGGGATTAGATAAGGGCTAATTGGGGCTAACAAGGACTAGACACTTATATGTTCTCTTTGTTTCCCCCTCTCTCTCTCTCTTCTCTGTCTCTCCCTCACTACAGTCAACCTGTTAGACTCTAAAGCAAGCCAGGGGGAGTTAGGATGGATTTCCTACCCATCGCATGGGGTGAGTATATTTTCCACCACTTCATCTTTTAATGTGCTCATACATTTGGGAGACGGAGCCACCTACACGGAGAGGAGGTGGGCTTCTTCATCCCCACTCCAGGATTTTTTAAAACTCCTGTGGGTCTCACCGTGTCAGGACGACCCAACAAGCCAAGTGCAGATTAACCCACTTTTTCTTTAGACATTTCTTTTGTGCATTCTCCATCTCACAGGTTAAAGGTTAAGCATTTGGCGCTCGCCATATGGTCGACATGCTTAAGGGAAAATGTACTTCTGTGCCTGTTTATTTGAGTGTGTGTGTGTTTAAAGAAAGATTAAGGCATTAACGGATTTTGGGGTTGCGGGCACAAAAGCATCCACATATAAATGTCGATAAGCTTAGCCCCCTTTTTTATAAGTAAACATCACATCAACAACAGAGATGGCATTTTACTGCTGTTTTACTTGTTAATCCATTTGTTCCTAATGTGCATCACCTCATTCTGTCTATCACATGAACACAATCTCATCAACTTTTAACGTGACCTATTCTTTCATTTAAAAACATACAGTATATCAATTACATTCAAAGATTGTTTTTTTTGGTCAAATTTTATAGAATCCTTTATTAAAACACCTTTCATTATAAAACTAAAGCTGCAGCAACATCCTCCCATACATTTTGAAAAAAAAAAAAAAAACCTATGCAGCCTCATCTATCAGCGTCTCTCTGCTACTCCCTCCAGTGGGCTCTCACTCAGTGTTTATTTGTTTAAGTATTTGGACTACTGTGCCTTGGGGCAGGCCCACTGACACACACACACACACACACATTCACATACAGCACACTTCCTTGTTTTTCCTTTATTAAGTGTTAGAATTACTCCTTGGCAGTGGCTTAAGGTAATCCAGTCATTTGTTCCGTGGGGCTGCCAAACCTTGTTTCCCTCGGCCATGTACAGAACTGGCACCGTCAAAACGCTCAGAGTTTCTTCACGAAGTTGAACCACAGATAAAAAAAAATTTGAAAGAAGAGAGAGGGCTCCATAGGAAAAACTGCAGGCAAAATGCATTTAGTCAAAAAACAATTGCAGGCTACAGGACAACTGCATGAGCGATTGAATGGAGAGATTGATGTCGTGCTGATAGATGTTTTTCACGTGTGAGCGAGTAGGAAAATAAACATCGATATCGGGGACATGATCCAGCGCTGGACAGTGGAATGTGTGCTGGAGGTTATGCAGCGAGGTCTGCTTTATTTCAAGTAATTTGCTTTGAACAAGTTCTGAAGAGAAAAAGCGTGTGATTGTACAGTTCATGAAAAAGCTGCCGGAATCGGAGCCAATGTCACTGTTGGATGAAAATGACTTCAGAGGGGAAAGAGAGAGAGAGAAGAGGACAGGATCAAAAGGATAAAAGGGATGAAAAGTGAGTGAGAACAGAGGAGAGAGAGAGAAGGAATAGAAAGGATGATTGAGAGACAGAGAGAGGGAGAGATATTGCTGATGATCAAGTCCTCAAGGTGAATCATCTGTAATTACTCACGTCATCCACTGACTGCGCTCCGATAAGCAGCCTGCCCTGGGAGACTGCTGCTCACAAATGATTTCTCATAATGTGGCAGCCCTCACACACACACACACACACACACAAAGGGTCATTCACGTTGATGGTGAGGCTGCTGCTATTGGCCTACTGAGACACAACGTGCTCTGGTCAGAACAAATTAAGAGCTTAGCCTCCCCAGGACGTTCACTCCGGAGCCACCGACCGGCCTGTTTGTGTGTGTGCGATCCAGATATACTTTTATCTGTCTGGGAGGCAGCCTGATTGCTGAGCAGTGTCCAGGGGGCTTAGTCCTTCACTAAAGACTAAAGAGTGTTAAAGATTACATTCTTGCGTGCTTTGAAAGCATTCTTCAGCAACAAGCCAACACCCCAGACACTGGCTCTGCATACAAAATAGAATTAATGGGCACAAACAAAGTGAAGTCCATTTTTCATATAGGACCCAAGAGGGGATACAACGACATAACTGTTTTTGCCAGGACTGTTGTGTATTGACGTGATTCTTTATCTGGCGTTATTATTTAACATGTGTAAATATTAGACAGGCTATTGTTATTGTGGAAAGTTTAAAATAGTGATTAGAAACCACTTCAGTTCAAGTCTTAACCCCACATATTTCCAACATTTCCAACAGTTTTTTATTTTAAAGTAAAATGAGTTCAAGCCAATGTCATAAAGCAAAGTGTTACTTTATTGACAAAATTAAGTTTTTATTTATTTGTTAATTTGACAATGACAATGCAGAGAACCCTTGTAACATGTTGCAGGAACTTTATACACATTTACTGCATGTATAGGATTTCTAGCTGAGGCTAATTTGCTATCTCTGTCCCTTGTAAAAGGGTATAATACATTGTTACATTATATGTTAAACCAATTGGTAGTGTCAGTGGGACTGTACAATCAACATCCCAAGGAAAACCATATACAGAATTTGCTTTGTATTTCACTGTAATAGTAATATTTAACATGTTTAGGTTTATACTCTCCACAGGATTGTAAAAGTATTTTCTAAGCTATGTAACAATGGCACCCACTGAACTTTTGTGTTATGGTAAAGAAGCTTGACATCCATAGAGAAAAAACACCAGCAGTCACAGTGTGTGAACTCTGCATATACAGTTGGGAACAATGAGAAATATTTAATAGACACCCACACACATCCACATCTCACATTCCAATCCTCAGGTCTGGAAGAGGAGGGTGGGGGCACATGTGTATAGTTTTTGAGTCCATCTTTAGTCTGCCAGCTTTACTTCTGCTGCTCTTACAGACTACGTTTTTAACTTCTTTAGTCACCCAAGAGCTCTTAAAGCTTTCAGTGCTGTGCTGCCACCCTGTCTGTGAAATCAGCCTGACCAGCATATTCCCTCCTAACACCACACACACACACATAGAGCGAGAGAACAGAGAGGTTCATCCACAAGGTTTAGCTGGCCAAGGCGAGAGGCTATAGAGAGGAGGAAGAGGAGGAGGAAACTCAAAGTGTGTTATAGATGCTTTCTTCTTAGTAAGACCACTTCTAACTCTGACTGACAACAAACGCATACACCACGAAATGATGTCCAACATTATATTAAATGTACCCTGTAGTACAAGAATATCCCAATCCATCCATCCATTATCTGTTCTGCTTTCCTTTGAGCGCTGCGGGGGGAGCTGGAGCTCATCCCTGGTCAGGTCTCCACCGTATCGCAGCCAACGTACAGAGACAAACAATAATTCACACTCACTTTGCCACTTTCACTTTTCACATCCCAGTTGTTCTTAATTACTCCTCAAACAATGAAAATGTTAGTTGTTATTACTAAAAAACAACCTAAGCAAATATACAGATATACTATGGATGTCCTATATGTGTACGTCGAATATGGAGCTAATTTGGAGCTCATGGAAAATACATAAAAGTGAATGAATTAATGAACAAGCTGGCCAATGGCCTTAAAGACACATTAAAAAACCATGTGAATTACAGTGCAGAGATACTCCTCCTACACATCAGGAGGCTCTCATGCTTCCATCGTCCTTCAACAATTGCTGTTGACGTGTCCTTGAGCAAAGCGTAAACAATGATTAGCGCTGGTGAGGCTCGGGGCCTGTTGGAAAACAGGAGGAGTGAGGCCGATGGGGAGGAATGAAGTGTGTGTTCAGGTTTCCCTTTGGTAAGACCGGCTGGTGAAATGTCCTCTGACTGATATGCTGCAGTTGTCGCGTCTGTGACCACCATGACCTCCGCGGAACCCGAAGCGTATAAGCTGCATGGCTGCATACTTGTTGTGGACACTCCAGTTTTTTAGTTCCAGCCCTCCTCTCCAGCTCTAGAGCTCTAATGGACAATTGTACACAATATGTGAATTCATTGCATAACTATTTATTCATTTAATGCCTAAAAAAACTTACATGTAAGACAAAAAATATTAGGCTGTTACCAAAATCCCATCATTGAAATAAAGCCATTATTGTTAAACCTTAGAATCGATGGGTGATTTTTTAAATCTTATTCCCTAAAACACAACCAGTCAAATGCATTGTTAACCTAAACTGGTCCAAGAACTTAACTCCCATTGACCTTCATGTCTTTGAAGTGGGTGGACTGGCATGCTGACTCTGTGATTCTGAGACGTGCCTGTTGCAGTTAGTTTTTAACGTCCCGGGCGGATCGAGTTACCACAGTCCATTTTACTGTCCCTTTAGCTGACGCACTTACCTACAGCACAGATCAGAGAAAGGAGCTCACACCAAACTGTGCCCCAGCTGTGACCATCAGGCGGAGGGTTTAGGGGGGTGGGGTCAGAGGTTACAAGGACCGGTGTAGGGTCCCAGTGTTGTTATATATCAATTAGAGGGCAGGGAGAGGTGAGTTACGCCCCCCTGGAGAGAGACAAGGGGGTGGCTGCTCACTTTTAGACCTTTATTTATTCTGGTTGACACACAAACACTTCCGGACATTCCCAGCGGGAGTTGACTCTGCTGGCTGCAGAGATTCCATATATTTTGCTGAAAGCGAGGAGTAGAGGTCATAAAAGTTGGCTCTGGATTGTTTTTTGCTCTTTTAAGCGTTGTTGACTATCATTGTGAATCGATTAACATTGTGGCTTTTGTCCGGCAATCTTTGATTCAAAGCCACACATCGTTGTCACATATATATTATAAGTGTTCAGAAAAAGATTTCAGCTGGGGCCAGTGCCCCCCTCTCCCTGGATCCACCCCTGGGAGTTAGGAAATGATGTTAAGGCATTATCCCTTTTTTTTCCTCACACTCTTTTTCTCCTTTTCAAGCGAAGGGCAGTTAGAAAAAACAAGCCCTGCCTAACTAAACCCAGGAAAGTGATTCAAGGTTGGAGGACTTCATTCTTATGATGTAATATTTGGCGGATGTGGGCGAGAAGGGTAACTCCATGTAATAGATGCTATCCTCCAGAGTGAGATCCTCACATCGTAGCGGAGGTCTCGTTTACTTTGGCTGAAACTTGCTCAAGTCGAGTCATCTTCTCTGGAAAAGGATGTAGCATACTTTAGACACACACATACACACACACACATGCACACACACACACACACACACCTGGGTTTGATTTTGAACCCTGTGTGTGTTTGCACTTGGTAAACTTCAGACCCCTCCCAAAGACAGCTGAAAAGTAGAGACCCATCACTTCTAGTCATTTTATATTTAGTCCGGTTGGCATCATTATGCTTGACATGAAAGTCACAAAGGAATAACACATTATAGCGGCTCACAAAGACATCTGCATATAATAGAATACACACATACATTCACATACATTCACAAACACCAAAGCAAACATACAACATTCTCATAGGGAACTGCACTATGAGGCCCCCTTTTCAGGGAAAATGCATGTTTACGCTGCATTTACATACAAAAAGGGATACGTCCGTTTCAAACGACAACTCCCACTGCCCACGAACTTCTATTAGTTCTTTGCATTGTCAAGTAATACATCCACTAAAGGGCAGTGCAGGTCCAAGAGTTTCTGACAACAACAAACGTGGCAATAGTGGAGAAAGTTTTGACAATTTACCTTTGTGCCACCATTGTTGAAACCATTTCCTCACGTCTAGTGTCGTCTCGCTTGAACTATTGGTTACACTGCCACCCGTGATTTCATTCGGTACGGCTCCATTTCGTCTGTTTTGATTTGGTAACCTTTAAAAAGACGAGCACCAATACGGATTAGGCAAAAGCAGAATATGTACAGTTTGCATTTATGTATCTAATGTTGAGCATAAATGAACCTAAATAGGAAACCAGTGAAATATTACAATACGTCGCTCACTAAGTGGAGAAGCTCTTGAAATAATGAGACAAAGTGCAGACACAACCCAGAGCAGACACTTCAGCCTGCTCCACTTTTTCTATGCTAGCTCTTATACATCATAGAATCCTGGATCACAAACTTATATAATCAATTAAGTTTTTTCAGAGACATAAAAAATGTGCTGACAAACCCCAATGATTCTCAGAAGTTATTTTTAACAAATTTTATTTGCCTAATTCTCTTTTAAAGTAACTGTAATTGAAGTTTTAGACGGTGAAGTGGTGCATTTTTGTACAAAGTGCCAGACTCTAAAGACATTTGGCTTGGGTCAGGGAAAAGACTGTACTTCTGCTTGGAAATAGAAAATGTCCCCAGACCAAGATCTTTCCACAACCAAAGTTCTAAAACAAAACTGTAAAATGTGAACCATGCTTTAATGCTACAATGCCATGAATGAAATACAAACCTTTTGTCACTTTACTTTTAAATTTGTTCAGGAAGTTAATTCATATTTCTCATTTAACACACTTATTATGCATGCTTGCAAATACATATGTAAGAGTTGCAACAAACGTGATGCTTAATACTGTGACGTCCCAACATTATTTTACACACATTTCAACTTTCTGTGTCAACACCTTCATCACCATGAGTGTCCTATTTTATGTGTTTTTGCACCAAATGTGAACCTTTCTATTTCTGTATAGTCTTTTTTTAGCAGGTAATATTTCCATGGGTCACATCTGCACAAAAAGGTTACATCTCTGGTTGTGCTGCTTCCTATCCTGGAAGAAAAATATTTAATTTTAACAAAGAATAATAGACTGTATATGAAGCTGCAGCAGAGAATAGGAAACATTGTTTTCATTATGCTCAAGTAAGTACATTATCTTATCAAACATAATGTCAACAGCATCACTGGAGTCAGTGGGAGATCTTGTCTTGCCTCTCTGTTGTGTCAGATTCTGTCAGTTTACCTTTTTGCATGTCATCACATCATTTTTATATTTACATGTAACGCCGAGTGGTTTCACGTCTTAGCCGAGCGAGGTGAAAATGTTAAGTTCAGCTCCGCCTCTCTATATTTAGCCCCACTCAGCTCTGTCCACTCACCCCTGTTATTGTTAGCCCCACAGAGAGCTTGGACTACACTCCTGATGAATGAGGTGACGCTAAGCAAAGCATGACGGGGGAGACTAAACACCAACGGAATCACTCACCCCTCAAGTTTCCTCTCACTTTGTCTCTCCCTCCTTTCCTTGTTTTCCCGACTCGCTCTCTTTCACTTTTCTCTTGCCTCCTCCCAGGGGTGTTTCATTAACTTGGCTGTGAGATGAAAAGCAAGTGGCCATCCTTCAGCCTGAGAGCTCCTTGAAACACCGGACGCTCATAGATACGCTTTACTCCCACACACACACACACACACACACACAAACACACACACACACACACACACATACACACACATGTAATAGAGAACCAAGTCCTTCTTAGCTCGTCATTAATTTCCGTGTTCAGGCTGAAAGCACCTGCTGTGCCCGCCCGCTATGAGCCTCTAAACACTTCACATGAGCCTATGTGAATGTATATGTGTACTTGGGTTATGTTTCCATTAATTCCTGTGTGAAAGCGTTATTTCAGTCTATACCTCTCTAAAAGGTTCCCTTTCTCCCTCTTTCAGGCCTATACATCCATTCTGACTTTCACAGAAAGAAAATAGTAAAGGATCCATTTCCACTTCTAGACCCATTTCTTTGTCCTAATGTCAGTTTTAACAACAATGAGCCCAGTGTTTCAGGTGTTTGCCCATTCATCATCGCTCCGATTCACTGTTGATTTGCCTGGACACAGAAAGCCAAAGCGTATGATCAATGAGTCTTCCCGCTGTGTTGAATTCAAAAGGAATGACCCCAGCTTTCTTTTTTTTTTCTCCTCTCCTCTCTCATTGCTTTCTCCCAGTGGAGGGAAAATGTAAGATAGACACGAACGTTCCTGGTATACACTCACATCTGTCTATACGTCGTAGTTCCTTTTTTTTATTTTGTTCCATAGTGGATTGAGCACGTTTCCTTCAGTAGCAGTAGTACTGTGATGCAAATAACCAAGACTGCAGCTTGAGAGTCCTCACTCGTAGAGAAAAAACATGTTAGTTAAAAGGGTGAAGAAAAAACGAGACGCTATGAGATTTTGTTAATTTTTAACAGTAATTAAGCAGCTTCACACACATTTAGCAGGATTGAGATGGTATTTTGTCTCTGAGATATTTTCACAGAGCCCTAATCTAGAAAATTTGGCTAAGGCAGCAAGTTTGCTTTTAATTAATTGGAGTAATTTATAAGAGATCTCGTAGTGTGCTTTTTCTTTTTTACCCTTAAATGTTTATTAGATGCTTAGTATTCAGCAAGAATCTGAATCTAAATAATTCATATGTAAATGCTTACAGGGTGGATATAACTTTATTTCTCTCTCTGTTATCTTCCCCTCTTTTCCTTGTATTCCTCCTTCTCTGACTCCAAATTCCCTCCTTCTTACTCACTCTTCTACTTTTCTCGACTTTCCTTCCTCGCCTTTCTATTCACCCAAAACAACTCTTTACCTTTCCTACACATTTTTAAATTGCTTCCCCCCTTTTTATTCTTCTTTTGCCTTGACCCTCCTATAATTTCTGAAAATTTTGCTCTTACAACTCTGCCTTCTTCCTTGACAATCCTTTGTGTGCTACTCCCCGTTTTCCCTTTAATCTGCCCTCTTTATTTCTCTTGTATTGGTTTTCTCTATCTCTTTTCTGTTTCTGTTGCTCCGACTCTCTGTCTCTCTTCTACACCTCTCCCTCTCTCCTTCTTTTTCAGTGGGAAGAGATCAGTGGGGTGGACGAGCACTACACTCCGATCAGGACCTTCCAGGTCTGCAACGTGATGGAGTACAGCCAGAACAACTGGCTCCGCACCAACTGGATCCCTCGCCAGTCTGCCCAGAAGATCTACGTGGAGCTGAAGTTCACCCTGAGGGACTGCAACTCCATCCCGCTGGTCCTGGGCACCTGCAAGGAGACCTTCAACCTCCTCTACCTGGAGGCGGACGACGACCAGGGCAGCCACTTCAGGGAGCACCAGTTCTCCAAGATCGACACCATCGCCGCTGACGAGAGCTTCACCCAAATGGATCTCGGCGACCGCATCCTCAAGCTCAACACTGAGGTGCGCGAGGTGGGTCCCATGACCAAGAAGGGCTTCTACCTGGCGTTCCAGGACGTGGGCGCCTGCGTAGCTTTGGTTTCGGTGAGGGTTTACTTCAAGAAGTGCCCATACACTGTGAGGAATCTGGCCTCCTTCCCCGACACTGTGCCCATGGACTCGCAGTCGCTGGTGGAGGTCAAAGGCTTGTGTGTCAATCACTCCAAAGAGGAGGAGCCTCCACGAATGTACTGCAGCACAGATGGGGAGTGGCTCGTGCCTATTGGGAAGTGTCTGTGCAACCCAGGGTTCGAGGAGCGAAGCAACACCTGCCAAAGTAAGACTTGCCTTCTTATAGCCATGTATATCATTTCTCTGCAACTTTCCTTGTCTTCTGCTCATTCTGTCTGTTGTCTACCTTTCTTTATGTGTGAACCTCATTTCTCTTTCACATCTATMMCTACAGCCTGCATTTCTGTCCTTATTTATTACACCGTGTGTGATACATTGCAAGGTTTGCCAAGGCTGCAGAAGTGTTTGATGTAAAAACTGTCACACTTCATATCTGTCAACTGAGAACCTTTGATCTCAAATGTCCAACCTTTATGCAGCATGCATGTGTGTATGGGTATGTTTGTGAGTGCATTGGCGTATTGTGTGTGTGTGTGTGTGTGTGTGTGTGTGTGTGTGTGTGTTGCCTTCAAACGAAGCCCAAAATCCCCAGAGTGATTGCGGAGAAGTTTGCAGTTGTACGTTTATATTTATCAGTGTTATCTGGGTCTTTGAGTTATAGGTCGCAGGCTTTGGTAGTTCAGTTGTAATCTTCTCTAGTGACACATCATTAGCTCTGGGAAGATCTTAACCAGAGGAGCAAGGATGGGACTGATAATGCAGAAGAAAGGAGCAGGGGCCGGAGTGGATGGTGAATAATGGAATAGTTGTGGCGATGGTTGCGGGTGTCAGTGGAGGCATGAGTGGGTTGACACTGGAGTCTGCAGATACTCAAGTCTCACCCCCAAAAGTATTTTGTTGCCTCGGAGGTGGTTGAAAAAGTCAAACAGTATTTGTCTGACGGTCTTTAATTTTCAGCCCATCCTGACTCTTAACCTTCTTTCCATCTGCTATATGATCATCACAAAATCTTTGCAGAGGATTCAAGGTTTCGACAGCTGATTGTTGGAGAGAATCTAAATGTTGCAATCATTGAAATCTCTGAGGAATGAACTCTGGCGCTTAATCTATGGACTCACACACTGCTCCACCTCAAGGTTTTGCAATACACTTTGACTTTTCCTGTTTCTCTTCAACAACCTTTATATCCCCTTTGGGATCAAGCAACCGGTGGGCTCAGAGGTTAACCGTCACGCCATGTCAGTTTTAAAAACACAGTATAATGGGTTATAAACTTCCTAAATGTGTAAAGATATTTCATCAGGGCTTCACAAGACCATTTCTTTAAGACACTTCCTTCGTAACGGGACACAAACACTACAGAGCAAAATAAAACTATTCCACTTAAGAAAAACTAAATTTGCTTAGTGTGGCTTCTGTGGATGACAGCTTTCATCAAGTACACTCATTTCATCAGTGTAAGTATTTTCACATCTGTCCCACACAGCCAGTTTTCACAGAGCTCTGCATTCATTTTATATTTAAATACTACTGTGCATATGGTATGTTGCATAAAATGACAATAGATGCATGAATATATATATGTTTGCTTACTTCATGCTCTTCTGGTTTGTGTTTATGTATACTCTGTTTGATCATGTCCGAACTGCTCCCCGCAGCTTTGGCAGAGGACACCGAAGCACCAGCTGCATGTGCCATGAAACCCTCACTTTCTCTTTGTTGTGGCAGGATGCTGCGGTCCACTTCGTTCTATATGCGCTCCTCTTTTCTCAGTCTCAGCAAGCTCCACGCTAGAAGGCAAGAAATTAAAGAAGCCAAGATACAGCGTCTATTTGAAAACGGCACCTCTGCTGTTCTGCCGCAGCACAAAGTTAAAACTACGTTGCGTGTCGTTCCGTCTTTAGCTCTCTCTGTCCTAGTTACGGTAGCTGCTCCCAAATGCTCCTGTGTTCATCAACTGTCTTCTGTACAGAGCCGTGCCCGGTGTTAATTAAAGATCAAAGTGTGTCTCGCAGGTCAAGCCCCTGCTGTCAGGGCCGAGGGAAGCTCTTTTTCTGGGGCTGTGAACTCCAGACGAGCCTGTCGCACTGTCCAGATGTGAGGGGAAACTCAGGGGCAGTTGTGTCTCAAAAATCTCGCATGTACAAAATGTAAACTGGTTAGGTGAAATATTGCATTATAGACAAACAATGGCAACAAGGATTAGACTACACTACTCCATTGTTAGTTTTAAAATGCATCACAGCTTGTAGACCAGCAGTGAAAGCAAAGGATTACAAACACTTTCAGTAACAGGTCCATGTCATTGTCGGTCCAGGAGGAGAATTCCTCATCTTAGACGGTCTGGTTCCTGTTTACATGCCAAGTGTGAATGGGTAATATGAATGGTCATGTGATTTTAAGGTGCGTTAGTATAGAAGGGGATTTTTACTGATCTAGAGCTAAAAGGCTCATGTGGACAGAGTTTTAAAATGATGTTAAGTGAAGATGTGACTTAAGATATTCTCTTTTATAAACAGACACCTCCATAGGAGAGCTAAACACCTTTAATCATCACCTTTATTATTAATAGTAATAATAACTGTAGTGTCATATGTCCACATTCCATTTCACTCTTAATACAGAATATATTAAGGATATCTCGCAATTGAAAAGAAAGAATTGAGTGTTATTGCCTTGGCCCAAAAATTGGTTCTGTACTTTTTGTGTAATCCTGCTAAAAAAAACAGACACATTCCAGCAAGATAGGGAAATGGACAAATACAATATTTTGTTAAATCCCATGAATAAAAAATGTCACAACTTCAAGGCACAAATACTGCCATTACCCCTAAGAATGGGGCATTATGTAGACAAATGGCAGACCCCTGTCCCAGGTCCAATACCACCCTCCTTTTGCTTCCTGTCTCTTTGTGAATTGTGTGAATGTTTGGATGTATTTGACAATCTCTTATTAGTTTCAGAGAGGTCTAATGGACTCTAATAAGGTCTTATGTTACCCTGGAATGGGACAGCTGCACCAACAGGCCCCCACAGTCACCGCGTGCAGCCGCCGGGGGCCCCAGCACGCAGCTTGCTCTGCAGGCCCTCTATGTTAACAGATAGATGACTGCATGGGGTTAGGTCACCGTACAGGCAGGCGGCGAGAGAGATGAAAACATATTTACGGCGCTATACAGGCGGCTAAAACAGATAGAGGCAGGTGTCTAAACCACGGTTTCTCAAGTGGTTACATGGAGCAAGACCCACACACAGTGAGCCCCAAACCCATTGGGAAAGATTGAAACCAGATTCATACAAAAGGACTTCCTCAGGATACTAAGATAAAGCTGTTGTTTCACAAAAATAATCAAACATAATTTAAAATTAATCTCAAACCACAAATGAATATTGAAGTGATTAAACATACATGCTGTCAGGCAGCAGCAGTAGAGGGTGTGGTGAGAGAGGTGTTTGGATTGAGTGTCGTTCGCTCTGAGTCAGATGAAGATGGAGCACCTTTGCTGGATTTTTGTTTTGTTTTCTTTGATGAGACGTCTTCCACTCAGCTAAGTCTCTGTTCTGTGAGTGTGTGTGTGTGTGTGTGTGTGTTTGAGAGAGAGAGAGAGCGCATGAGAGCAGTTTCCTATGTTTATACAGACTCCAAAGTGTGTTTAAGGGCTTTAATAGAGTACACTCTAGTATTAGACTGTCATTATCTTGCTGGGTTGTGTATGTGTGTGTATGTTTGTGTGGTTGTGTGTACTGCAAGAATGTTGTTTTTTCTGTGGCGCCTTCAAACAAGCCCATGAATTCTGTCTGGCTTTGGCAATGGGTCACCATGTGTGAGCTGCCGTCATGGGAGTGTGTGTGTGTGTGTGGCTGATGTCTGCCATGTATATATATGTCATTAGATAGTTCACAGGACCAGGAGTATATTGCTGTGAACACATTTTGATATTTCATCATCCATATCGGAGCAGAACATGTCATCAGATCTTTTTTTCCAGGGCTGGACTCTGGACTTTTTCAGTTTTTCACACTGCTCGATGTGAATTCACGTGTCACTCATCGTCTGGATTACAGTATGTTTTGTGAGCGGGCTTCGGCCTTTCCGCGGAGAATGTGGGGCCAGATCTAATCTCGCTAAGCCGGTCTTTCATCTGTCATTAGAACGGACTGCAGCAGGTGAACTAGCTCCTATCTACCATCAGTGTGAAATTCCTGCAACCATAATTTGATCCTAAAACAGCAAACGGATGTCTGTCTGTCGAGTTTCTCTCTCTTTCGCTCTCTCTCTCTCGCACTTTCTCTCCGTGTGTGTGTTTGAGTGTGTGTGCATGTGCGTGTGCGTTTTGCAAATGCAAGCAGCTGTTCTGGTGTACGTTCAAGGAGAGAACCCAGGTTTACATTCCTGCTTGATTTATCAAGACACACAATCCCCGAACTTGCCAGCACCATAATGTTTATTGAAATTACACACATGTAGTAAATTTGTACACAAATGTTGGTCTTGCTTGGATATTTTGATATAAATAGAGGAAAACAGAGAATCACTTTTGATAATAGAATAAACTTATTTTTTCAAGGGTTAAAGAAAAATGTGAATTCTAATAATTTCTGCTCTAAAGATACGTGTTCTAAAATGATTTGCTTTTGACGACCACATCAACCTCAGAGCTTCCAAATAAGCGTCTCCTTTTTTTCTTCCTTGTTTGCTTCCTTCACTTCTTCCCTCCTTCTCCGCTCTACCCGATGGCCCGACGGTCTTGGACGCCGGTTCAAAGCCCGCCGCCCATCTCATGTCGAATGTTTTATATCACTCTCCACTCTCCTGCTTAAGTGATTTAGCTGCTGCCCTCATGCACAGACATGCTTGGCTCTCGCGCAGACATGCTGGACTCACATTATACATCTTTCATTGGGTTTGTCACGCAAGCCTCCATCAAGTTGGACCAATCGAATACTCGAGCGCAGCACGCCGAAAAAAGATCCAGCGTCTAGTTTATAATTTGATTTTATGAAAAGCTCTATTCAGCTTCAACAATACTCTTATGTCCCTGTAATGTCATTAGGATCGCTCGTATTGCCAATACCGCTGAATCTCTATCTCTATTTCATCTCATTGTTCTGGTTTGCTCGTCTCCCGGTGTGACGCAAAATCCACAGACATCCAACGTGGCTGGTGAAGGAACTCGTTTTAGCATGGAGCTCGCCAAAAGGGTC